AACTCTAACTAAATCTTCTTTTAATCCAAAATATATAGCCCAACACCCCAAAGTGTCCCCTACTATTCTTCATTTGAATCTGTTAATAAGTGTTCAATCTTGATTCATTCCCTTTAAAAATTCTTAAACTCACTTACTTTGATATCACTCATAGAAAATCTTTTAAAAAATTTTTTCACTATTTTAATCGAGAGTTTTCATAGGAAACTCTCTCCCTACGATGTAATTAACTACGAGGGCTTGTGGTCGTAGGAGATTTAGAATCGCGCACACCTACTTTTCAAAATTTAATTGATTTCTTTGGAAAACTTCAAATATTAACTTTCATTATCATCATATTCGAAGAATTAACATCGAATGATATTTTCTCTCTTTAGGGAGATATATCTTTTGTTGGTAAAGCATTGGATATGAACTTAATGATCATCCTTCTAGATTATCGTAGTTAGATATTTGGTTGAGCTTCATTTTGACCCTTTAGAGTCATACGAGATCCTCCATTGAATCTGGTTATGTTAATCCATAATTCTAAATCTGAACCCCATCCTAAAATTTTATTTTTCACCTTCTGAGGTGGTATACTTTTTCTAATGGGATATTTGATTTTAGAATTAGAATTCAACTTTGATCATCCTTCTAGATTATCGTAGTTAGATATTTGGTTGAGCTTCATTTTGACCCTTTAGAGTCATACGAGATCCTCCATTGAATCTGGTTATGTTAATCCATAGTTCTAAATCTGAAACCCATCCTAAAATTTTATTTTTCACCTTCTGAGGTGGTATACTTTTTCTAATGGGATATTTGATTTTAGAATTAGAATTCAACTTTAATTTTAAAATTTCCAAAGAAAACCAAGTTTTTAAAACCTGTTCTCAAAATTCCACCAACACTATTGACCACAATTCTCTGACCACTATTAATCGACTATGATCTTCTCGACCTCTGTCTCCACTAGTGGAAGCACAATGGTGTCACGTGCCCCTGCTGCCCGACATAATTTTCTTTTTATATTTTGCTATATATATATATATATATAT